CTAAGCACTTTACACATATCAGTTCTTTTAATAATAGCAACCTTATCAGCATACTAATCATTATCCCTATTTTAAAATATGAGGAAACTGAAGTCAAGAGAAGTTACTTGCCCCAGGTTACACAATAAATAATGGAGCTGAGAATCAAATCCAGGACGTCTGGCTCAGTAATCAGTGTGCTCATTTATGATATTATAAACTGCCTTGTCACAGCAGGAAAAAAAGACCCTATGAGAAATTTTAACCAGTCTTGCAAAGAACAGTCTATGGAAAGGCCTGCAAGTAAGAGAATACCAGACAACTGGGGGACTGAAAAATTCAATTGAGCTGAATTCACTTGAATGGGGTTACAAAAGATGGGACTGGCAAAGTAAGCTGGAGGCACATTAGTTAGTTTGTATTTTATTCTGAGGGTAGTGAAGCAAGAAAGGGACTAGGGTCCAGCGTGTGGTTCAGTAGTTGAGTGTTGACCTATGAACCAGGAGGACACGGTTTGATTCCCCATCAGGGCACATGCCAGGGTTGCAGGCTTGATTCCCCAGTAGGGGGTGGGCAGGCGGCAGATCAATCACTATCTCTCATCATTGATGTTTCTCTCCCTTTCCCTCTCCTTTCCTCTAAAATCAATAAAGATATATTTTTAAATAAAAATTTTAAAAATTAAAAAAAAATAAAGCCTGAGCCCTGGCCAGTGCAGTTCAATTGGTTGGGCATCACCACATGCAGTGAAAAGTTGACTGTTCAATTTTCCAGTCAGGGCACATGCCTGGGTTTCAGGCTTGATCCCCGGTAGGGGGCGTGCAGGAGGCAGCTGGTAGATGTTCCACTCTCACATCAAGGTCTCTCTCTCTCCCCCTCTCCCTTCCTCTCTCTCTAAAAATCAGTAAAAATATATTTTTTTAAATGAAATGAAACCTGAATGGCGAGAAGCCAAATCTATAAGAACACAGGAGGCAGGATTAACAGGTGTAAAGACTCTGAGGCAGAAATGAGCTTAGCATATTTAAGAAATTGAAAAAAAGCCAGTGTGACTGAAGCCTTGGGAGCAGGGCTCAATGCATGAAAGGAGTTTGGATTAATCTAGTTGGAAGAGGAGGCCATAGAAGAGTTTAGGCACCATCTCCTTCCAATTCTATCCCCTTAAATCTTTGGAATCCACTGACTTCTCTTCACTGTCTTCACTGCACTATTTTAGTATGATAAAATGACACCTAGTTGGAACAGGATTTGGAATTAGTGAAGGTTTTTTGCTTTTCAGATGGAAGCAATTAAGCATTTTTTAAAATAAATGCTGACACAAGGAATATAGAAGTTGTTTACAAAGAAATTTATGGAACAAGGTTCCTGAAGGTGCAAAACAATTAACCTTAAGATAGGAACATTTATTGAGAGCCTACATTGTGTTAAGTCCTATATTCAAATCAATATATATTTTTATTATCATCTTCATATTACAGATGAGGAAACTACCAAGAGTTTAAATAACTTATCCAAATTCACACAGCTAAGTGGCAAACTGAGCTATGAACCCAGGCAGTCTGTTCCATCTGATTAGTCTCTCCTAACCTACAAAATACAAAATTCCCCCACAATATCATTTGAAGGAAAATTTCTGGGAAAGAAGAGAATTAACAAGACTCATCTCCCTTAATTTTTGTGTCCTCCCTGGGATTCTTCCACAGTACTATCTGTTGCCAGAACTGTAGTATTTAGTATGTGTTCCTTGGGTAATTTTGCATTTATGTAATTAAACACTTCGTTCACTGCTTAACTTGTAATTTCCCTTCACCTTAATCGCAGTTGAAATGCATTTCACCTTACTGTCCATGAAAGATTTCATATTTTCCTGATTGCAAGCTGTCCTCTATTTAGTGGTATCTTGTTTTTTTGGGCATATGGGTGCCCCCAAAACATCCAGAATATCGTGTTCCAAAAAGCTGTTTTTTCCACTAACAGAGCAAGCAGCCTGAAAGCTGGAGCCTGGTGCCATTTGCAAACCATCAGTGTATTTGGCTGCCCCCACTCTGTCCATCCTGTACATCACTCTGCTTCTCTAGACACTCAGCCTCCATCCCTACAACAGCAGCCTGGCCAGCTGGTTCTCACCATCTTCCACTAATCCTCCCCTCTGTGTCCTGTATCATCAATGTTTCCCTCTGTACTGGGTCATTGCTATGAACAAACAAAATCTCCCTTTTTAAAAAAGAAAACTCTCTCATAACCCCCCTTCTTCTCTCCCCCTCTTCTGTTACCACTTCCTTCTGCTCTGCTCCTCTGGAAAGAGTTGTATATATATTCTGGCTATCCTTAATGCCTTCTCTCTCATTCTGTCTTAAACCCACTCCATTTAGGCTTTTACCCAGACTGTACTGAACTGTTCCTGTCAGGTCACTGACATCACACACACACACACACACACACACACACAC